TATCGATATTTTCTCTTCGAACTCCGCAGACTCTATCCAGATCACTCTGTCGAAATGATTGTTCTGATCATTGGAGTCCTTGCCTCACTAAGACAGAAATCTTAGCCGCACAGATGCAGAAGGCTGTCACTCCTGGCTCACCGCGCTTGCTCAGGGCACATGATTCTCGGACCCAATGATCAATTACCCCACGGTGTGGGAAGTGGTTATTGGTTGATGATGCTGGCTTGCCCTCCCGAATGTATCGGTGCTTCGGACACCTCCTTGTTAACACCTGAAATTGAACAACGTACAGAACTTCACTTAGGTTACTTACAAAACCTAATTAAATCTCTGTATACAGGTATTAATCAACTATGTGACGTACAAACCTGATGTGAAGCCGACATATTACCATACTGACCCATCTGTCTGTGATAATACGGACTAATTTAATACCTTTCACTGATATTTTCAACAGTATTTCTTGATGATTTGAAATGTTCAAAGAACACTTCTTGGGAGTATTGATGTACTGTCTCTTCTGAAATAAATTTCAATTTTAACTCGTGTGGCACAAAGGATGTTAAGAAAATCCAATTTCTTACCTAAATAATTTTCATTTTTATTTCTTTCTTCATTTATCATAATTTCCTGTTCCAAGTCACTACCACTGGTTTCATCAGAGTCAACAATTTCCTCCATCTCCTTATTACTCCTTTTTTATAATATGAACAGATAGCACAACTATATAAATAATTTCGCTTTCGCAAAATTAAAAACAAATATAAACAACAAATCAAGCCAACTAACACAGAACTTACCTATCTAGATATGTATATATTTATGTACTGCGCAAGTCAGTTCCCTTGATTCCTGATTTCAGTCTAGTACCGAAATCATGGTTCTTGAACTGGTTCCACAACGATACCACATCGGGTTGGAACAAAACAATTATCGTTCACTAAACGGTTCTCTCGTGCTTGGAACGCATTTTTGCTATTGCACAGGCGCGTCACCGTTCCACCGTTCCAAGAACGGTTTCTTGATATGTTGGAACAAACCTATTATGTCCGGTTCGGAGACATTGATTGATGACACTAATAAAAATACAATGAATGGCTCACGGTGTAAAATTCATCAAATAGTGACTGTCAGCTGAGTTTCATTATTGTAGTTTTTCAGTTTCATCCTGTTTGAACTTGAGTTTTCATTTCGTTTATTATCTTTTGATACACTGAAAATCTGCAAGGACCACTGCTAGTATTTTCAACAAACAGGAATATGTATAGGAATTGTTTAGGAATGATCAATAACAAAGGCATCAATGTTGCAGAACTACAAAAGTTTTCTGAACACCCTTACGAAATGAAAATGGTTTATGAACTGAAACAAGATAATTTCGAGAGATGAAGTGAATTTTGTGAGATCCTCAAGAAGAGCGATATTATCTGAAGCACTTTTCCAAGTGAGAAATTTGTAGAAAGCTACAATTCCAAAAACGTTTACTCCAACTGAAACTATACTTATGAGAATAGTTCACCCACCATTGATGATGAACTTCATATAGAGCAACTAATAACGGTCAAGAAAAATGAATATTACAGTCAACCCAATTTTCCGAATCTCATGGATTTATTCAAGGATCTGAAGACTGTTTCTGCCAATGATAAATCCTTTCATTATCCACCAATTGAAAATTGAGTCTAAATCTTTTAACAAAAATCCAGTCATCGTCCAATTTCTTTAGTCGCACTCTGTTTATGCTTCAAGATTTCAAAACACCGACTGGGATATAAATCAAAATTGCCGTTCTTATTTTCTTGGCAGAAGTTGCAGTGTTGTTCCGGCTGCTCTCTGCTTGCAAGATATTACAGTGTATACATTGTTGCATTGTTAATGCAATGAGCTGAGTGGAATACTTACTGGCAAGTTAAACGTTGGTGGAATAAGAATTCCATGAATTTAAAGAGTCAGATATAAATTACGCCTATGAGTCGGCAATTCATATAGTGTTGCGTTTAGACATATAAGTATTTAATTATTAAAATCAAGGGAGTTCTGTAACGACAATGGAGTTGGATTATTCTTTGCAGTCGAAAGAATAGGAATCGTTGCTCCAGGAATCACTCTGGAGCAACGGAACCGGTTCCATACATAAAAAAATACATACATAACCAAAATTATTTTGTACAAGTGATATGCATAAAAAAAACGATTATGACAGGAAGTAATGAGGCATGATGTGAAAATAAAATATTTCTAATTTTTCTCAGAAAATAGTGATTGTTATTCAATAAAGATTTATTTTCATTGATTCAAAAGATAATTAAAATTTAAACATTTGTTTCCGATTTTGTCAATCAGTGACTTCGGTAATAGTTATATTCGATGTTGCTTTTGTCGTTTCTCTCGGCACATTGAATACTAATTATCTGAATGTTATAGAAAAATGAGCTTTGTTTTAAAATCTAGCCGTGAATTCAATCACGATACTTGTTTGTTACTCTTCAACTCCATTGTTCGTTCAAAGCTGGAATATGGTTGTGTCATTTGGAATCCAAAGGACTTTTTATATTCTGATACTGTAGAAAAAGTCCAGAAACGATTACTAAAAATACTCTTTTTCAAATAACACAATGTCTGTCCTTTATTTATATCGTATGCTAGCCAATTACAAAAATTTAATGTGCAACCGTTGCACATTCCTTGAGTGAGTCCTCTGAAGTGATTTTTGTTTTTAACATTCTTAGAAAAATGAAAGTACCTGAAATTCACTATACTATTGATTTTATTGTACCTGACGTAAGACTGAGAAGAAGAGACAATCTTTTTTGTGTCTCAAACAATTTGTCTCCCCTTCAATAATATCTCGAAACCAATGTCAATCAGTGACTTCGGTAATAGTTATATTCGATGTTGCTTTTGTCGTTTCTCTCGGCACATTGAATACTAAGTATCTGAATGTTATAGAAAAATGAGCTTGGTCTTAAAATCTAGCCGTGAATTCAATCACGATACTTGTTTGTTACTCTTCAACTCCATTGTTCGTTCTAAGCTGGAATATGGTTGTGTCATTTGGAATCCAAAGGACCTTTTATATTCTGATACTGTAGAAAAAGTCCAGAAACGATTACTAAAAACACTCTTTTTCAAATAACACAATGTCTGTCCTTTATTTATATCGTATTCTAGCCAATTACAAAAATTTAATATGCAACCATTGAAAGACCGCCGCGCCTTGAGTCCTCTGAAGTGATTTTTGTTTTTAACATTCTCAGAAAACTGAAAGTACCTGAAATTCTCTATACTATTGATTTTATTGTACCTGACGTGAGACTGAGGAGGAACAATCTATTTCGTATCTCAAACAATTTGTCTCCTCTTCAACAATGTCTCGAAACAGTTGACAAAATGGTGAGGAACTGTGAACTGGACATATTCAGTATTATAGAGGATTTCCTTTTAAACTTTGGTTTCATCACGAAGAATTGATTGAATATTATTGAAAATGATTTCAGTCGAATAGTATGATTTTTGTTATCTGAAATAGAATGTACACATTGGAAACCTGAAAATGTTTGTCTAAAGGTGATTGACAATATTTCATGATGAATTTCACTAGTTCGCACTTCCATTGTCGAATATATAAAATGATTTGAAATCCCTGAAACGCTAACACCGCAACACAGTAAGCCCCCTCACTTGTATGGATTACCCAAAATCCACAAGAAGGACATTCCGCTTAGACCGATCATCAGCTCCAGAGATTCGGCTACTCAAAACTTGTCTAGATTTGTACTTCCCATAATACAACCATTACAAGGAAAAACATCATCTTTTGTGAAGAATTCAAGAAATTTTGTCGAACTACTAGGATCAATTGAAGTCACACAGGAAGATCAACTAATTAGTTTTGACGTGGAAAGCCTTTACATCAACGTTCCGGTCGAAAAAGCAATCCAAATCATACAGAGAAAGCTATCCGAAGACGGGAACCTGAAAGAGAGAACGAATCTACCTATAGAAGTAATTATGGAATCACTAGGATGCTGTGTACGAAACTGTTATTTCCAACCTAAGGACGCATTCTTTACACAAGATGAGGGACTCCCAGTGGGATCCCCACTTTCACCAGTCATAGCCAACATATATATGGAGTGGTTTGAAACTCTGGTCATTGAAGAAGCCCACAAGAAACCTCGAGTCTGGTTGAGATATATTGACGACACCTTCATAATATGGAACCTTGGGAATATTGAACTAGACGCCTTCCTGAAAGACATCAACAGCATTAGACCTTCCATCACTTTCATAATGGAGAAGGACATTCACAACGATTTGCCATTCGTAGACGTTTTGGTGGGAAACATCTGTATACCGAAAACCCTCTCACACGGGACAGTATCTGAACTACGAATCCAACCACCATCAATCGACTGAAAGAGGAATCATCGAAACTCTACTAGACCGTGCTTTCGGGCTCTGTGATACGAAGGAAGGTCTCTAGAATATTAGACAATGGAAGTCCGAACAAGTGGAACTAAAAAGGTTTATTTTGAATAACTAATTTCCTATTCAACTTCGTTTTTTCGAAGTTAAATAGGAAGTCGTTGATTTCAATGATATAAAGTGTTATGTCCAATTGCATTTTTTCAGAGATCGGATCCTAGACTAGTCCGGTCAGAACATTATGTTCTGATATATTTTTCACTTCATTCATCGAATCGTTGATCTATATCGTTTTCATGAACGATATAAGTTTCAAATGATTTCGATTATTTATGGTGGTACTCAAAACGAAGTAATCGCGAGTATTTCAGAATCACATTTGTTCAATTCATACTCTGCCAGACATATCGATATCCAGAGTAGAAAAAAAATTAGCTTTGTCTCTCTTAGCGTTACTATGCTGTTTTATTTCAACTCATTTTTTATTGAATTGTCCAGTAAATTTTATACTCATTTATTTTTTTCTAGTATCTTCGATTCTTTGTTCTAATGCAAACATTTGTTCACAGGTTATCCCAGTTTTCTGCTACAACTTGGTGAAGAAAGTCATCTTGATCATCTCCAGATACTCTCAAAATGGTTTTCAGGCCCACACAACGCGGTCTATGCAATGTTCATGCAAATACATATCACAAATACTTCGAATCACATCGGGACCCAAAGCCGGCCACACCCTGTATTCGGTGAATACCCGACAATTTCCCAAAGGATAACCAGTCGCCTTCGTGAATCATCCGTCAGTATAACTCTGCCAATTTCACCATATCAACCAAACGCAGCCATTCACAAGGCTTGTTCTTCGTTTCTGACATTCCAATTAGAAGTCCTTCAGTGTTCAACGCAGTTTGATTTCCATCGTCCAACGCAGTTTTATTTCCACAGTTCAACGCAGTGTGACTCAACGTTTCGAGTAAAGATCCAGGTGTGTCTAGAGGCGTTCACCGTGCAAGCACTGTATGAAGGGTTGTTGGTCATTAGCTGGACCACGGCCCAATCGAGACCCCAGCGCTGGAACAGTTCGGCACAGCTGGCCACTCTTCTGGTTCTCTTCGCCACTTTGACCATAGCAAACAGGTGCTGCGCTGCACCGGTAGTCCAATTGAACCATAGGCCATTTCATGATTCCAAACGCCCAACTTCCAGTTTAGTCATAAGTAGGTTATTTAGTTATGAACGTGATACTAGCATAATTTCCGACGATTCTATTGCAACTGATAGAAACACCACATTCGTGAAAAGAAACAAGCGTGCGTTCGAACCGTATCTGAGGAACAGGATCAGCAGGTTGAGAAGCAAATTATTTTCCGAAAGTAATTCAACGACTTTCAAAAACTCTCGAGCCAAATATGAACAGTTGAGTGCGAGTGATGGTGGGGGTAGTGTCGATAATACGCGAGTGACTTTGAATGAAACGTTTCAGGCAGAGAATCGTCAGAACGGTAGCACTTTTCCGAATCGAGGATCAGAAGTGAGGGGTTTTCCACGGCCGATGCCACCAGCTCATGCTCAGGACGACGAATCATGTGAGTGCTGCATGCCCATTTATTTTTTCGTGAAAATCGCTCATTCTACTGTGTTCTTGGTCGATTTCGATATTTCACACCACTGGACCTCACATGGTAAAAATATCAGCACTATCAGGCTAGCATGGCGAATCCAGCACAATTGCAACAAAAAATACATCAATTTGTAGCTAAATAGTTGCTAATTAGTTGCCAAAACAACTATTTTGTTGCTCGCGCCGATCCCTAGAAATCGCAAATAATGCTATCGTGATATAAAGGTAGCACGGTAGCTCAATAAATTATATACTTTTCCATTGATCTTTACAGAAGATTTAGTTACTATTTTGTTGCTTAACGAAAAATTTTTATTTTTTTTTTCTGATCTTGCTATCTTGAAACTGGTTTTTCCTGGAATCAAAGATCTTCTGAATTCGTTGCTCACCAAGAGTAAACTTAAAAACAGCTTGAGTATCAACAACAAAATAGTTGAAACTGATCGGATGATTTTTTTTTCATTTTCCACATTCTTGCAATCTTGCAACTGGTTTTCTTCAGAATGAAAAGTGTTTCAAATTTGTTGCTCACCAGGAGTATACTCAAATACACCTTGGGTATCAGCAACAAAATAGTTGAAACCGATCGGCCGATTTTGAATTTTTTTTCATTAAAACACTTTTCATTTTAAGGAAAACCAGTTTCAAGATAGCAAGATCAGAAAAAATTAATTTTTTTTGCTATATCCAAGGTTAAGCAACTAAATAGTAACTGGATCTCCTGTGAAAATCAATGGGAAAGTATATAATTTATTGAGTTACCTTGCCACCTTTATATCACGATAGCATTATTTGCGATTTCCAGGGATCGGCACGAGCAACAAAATCGTTGTTTTGGCAACTAATCAGCAACTATTTAGCTACAAAATGATGTATTTCTTGTTGCAATTTCACTGGATTCGCCATGCTAGCCTGATTGGGCTAAAAATATCATTTCATGTGGAGCCTGTTTTTGGGTACCAATAAAATTGTGTACTTGTTGTGATCAAAATATTTTGAAACTCAGAAATATGCGTGTTCTTTATTCTTGATCTATTTAGTATACCTATACAGGGCGTTCCAACGAAAATTCAACCCCCCCCTGTAAGGAAGAAACGGACGGGTTATCGAACATTTTAAAGAGTACCTCAATTTTCATTTTCAGGGGGACTAATTCTTATATGGAAATCATACTAAAAACTCCACCCCTCTGCGGTCAGCAACTACCCCCCCTATTTTTTTCAATGGCATGGGGGGTCGAGTGATACATCATTTGAAAGGTCTTCCGTGCCTCTATCACATCTGTATTTTTTTTTGAAATCAGTTCATTTGTTATCGAGGAATTGAATGTTGAACATTTTATTTAGGAAAAAATAGAAAATTCGCTGTCGCTCATGTTATTCAGGAACACAACAAAATTATATCAATGGCAACACAATCAACGGATAAAGTGTTCAAAATGACCTCCAACTAGTTCTATAAAATGATACAGTCTACTTTCGATAGCGTTCCTTACATTATTGAAGATGTCCGAAGTCAGAAATCGGCATTCCCGAACAATGGGGAATAACCTGCGACAGAGAATTGTTCGAAAATGCCGATTTTTGACTCCGGACATCTTTAATAATTTAAGGAACGCTATCGAAAGTAGACTGTATTATTTTATGGAACTAGATGGAGGTCATTTTGATCACTTCATTCGTTGTTTGTGTTGCCATTAATATTACTTCTGTTGATTTCTCAATAAAATGAGCGACAGCGAGAAATAGGGGTTACTTGCTGACCGCAGGGGTTGAAGTTTCGGGTATAATTTCCATATTAGAATCAGTCCTCCTAGAAATGAAAATTGATGTGTCCTTTGCATTTTCGATTACACGTCCGTTTCTGATTTACAGGAGGGGTCAAATTTTCGTTGGATTGCCCTGTATTGTAAGTAATAACGTTCCTCAATGGATATAAACATGGCATTTGCAGGACCCATTTTATTCAAATAACAAGAGACTGGATTTTCATGAAAACAAAAATCATTAATCTCTATTAAAGTATCAACTCTTCAACTTTGCAAGTGTTAATGTAATTCCTAGTATTATCATACTAGAACAATAAATATAGGACTCATTTTGGCAACAGTACTTTTCTAGCACCGGCGAGTCTAGCTTGAAGTTCGTTTTCTAATCAGTGTTCATTTACTTTCTGGCAACACTCCTGCATTAGTCACAACATCAAGAATAATGATTTTTTGTTTCATTACAGCGAACAGCTCTTCAAAAATAAATTGGATTCGTTTCAAATTAACAAACAAACCAGTTAGAAAATGTACGAGAAAGATCAAGAAACAATGTAACCTCTGCCAATTGAATAATTTGGAGTTGTCTCTTCAAATTTGTTTGAAATAACATAAGGTAGTCTGTTTCGGTATTGCATAGAATCAGAAGCGTTCAGCAAAAGTATGGAGTGATAGATATCTCAGGATATCTGATAGGAGTCAGCCCAATAACCTACAGTGCAGGGAGTTAGATCATAAATGACGTTCGCCGTTGAGAAAATTCAAGAGTACTGCAAATTAACCTCAATATATGAATCTATATAAAAATCCAAGTTTCAGGAAATACAATTGAAGCGATAGTGGGATAGCTGAACATTTTATCGAGCAAAATTCATAAAAATTTTCATGAAATGCACAAAGTTATTATTGATCCATTATCCATTATCCATCCATTATTGAGTTCTGAGATTTCAATTTGAATTTTTCATTGACGTTTCAAAAACTTACTACTACCGTTAAAATTGCACAGCACGCATGTCGATCATAAAAAGCGTTGTCGTAAATATGAAATATGAAACATTGCATTGTGTGAATGATTTTCTTGAAATGGAGTGTATAAAATTCATTAAATATGGTCTGTAATTCTCCCAGCACCTGCACTCACACCTGCATTGCACAGGATAATACATTCATTTATATTCTTGAGTATTCTTCCAATTGATTGCAAATCAATCGATGACGATATTGAAATCGAAAAAATGCATTGGAAAATAATTTATACATCTTTTTTGTAACAATTATCATCATTCCCAAACACACCATTTATGGACTCGACAGAAAATTCAATCCACAAATATCAACTATCAAATGTAACAAACTTCTTTTTTGTTCAGACCAGTTGCTTTGAAGTCGAAGATGCAAAGAAAGACAAAAAAGATTCTCGTTCAGCAACCGATGTCGAAGCTCAGCTTTGCAACTGTCCGCCTTCCGCAACTGACCGCCTTCAGGAGCCTCGATCATCGTTGATATTTGTGGGTTGATTCTTCTGTCGATCGCCTAGATGACGTCTTCGTTATTAAAGATATCGCTTATTCATACAGATGTTATTTATTCATTAAATCATTTTGGATATACTTTCATTTTCCTTTCAATAGTATTGAATTTTCAATACGACATCAGCATTCAGTGATATTTTATGTAATTACGAAGCATCTTATTATTATTATCTTAGTGATTTATTTGAATTTGAATGGTCACTGGATCTTGACAGTGCTGTGCAACAACTTACATTGCACTTATAACATGGCAAGTGATAAACTCACAGTTATAAAGTAATTTATGAGAATAAACGGAAAATGAGAGTAATAACATCTAAATATCATAGTTACCAATCTTTTTAGCCACAACTCTTCTTCAATGGTGATTTTGCTGTACCCTTAACCGATGATTTTCCAACAATGAAACTTTCAAATCTGGAACTACTTACATTTTGTGGCAATGTTTTGCACATTTTATCAAATTTTTATCACAGTGTCAGCCCCTGAACTATGATGCTGGAAGAATTTGGGGTAATTCCCATACTTTATACGAATTGCTATCTGTATATCTTCTACGAACCGCAACGGCAATTTTCACATGGTACATTCGCATCACGAAAATCTACTCTGATGCGTTTCGGATGCATAAATTCGAGATAATAGAGTGCATGAGCCCATATTCTCAGAGCGAACCACTTTGTCGTCTCTGCTTCTGGAAGTGGACAATTTGAGTTGGTTCTAGATAGCATCGCTTGCGAAACTGACGTTATCTTAATATTCCCTGCCCGAGAAACAGAGGTGAGTCTTTATTGAATATTTGAACGTATTCAAAAAACACACTCCAATGTGACATTTTCATTTGAAAACCACGACCCTTATTTCACTATATAATAGCATCTTCGGGCGTCAAAATACGCCTTAAGATGATATTGTATGACAAAACACGTGTCGCGGTTTTGTGAAATTTCACAATACGCATTGTGACGCCCGAAAATGTTATTGTATAGCGAAACACGTGTGACGCCCGAAAATGTTATTGTTTTGCGAAACACGTGTCGCGGTTTTGTAAACTTTCACAATACATATTGTGATGCCCGAAGATGATATTGTATAGCGAAACACGTATTGCGGTTTCCTAAACTTTCACAATATGTATTGTGACGCTCGATGATGTTATTCTATAGCGAAATACCTATTGCGGTTTCGTAAACTTTCACAATACGTATTGTGACGCCCAAATATGTTTTTGTATAGCGAAATACGTGTGGCGGTTTTGTAAACTTTTATAATACGTATTGCGATGCCTGAAGATGTTATTGTATAGCAAAATCCGTATTGCGGTTTCGTAAACTTTCACAATATGTATTGTGACGCCTGAAGATGTTATTCTATAGCGAAACACGTGTCTCGATATTGTGAACTTTCACTATACAAACTGTGACGCCCAAAGATGATATTGTATAGCGAAACACGTATCGCGGTTTCGTGAACTTTCACAATACGTATTGTGACGCTCAAAGATGTTATTGTTTTGCAAAACACGTATTGCGGTTTTGTAAACTCTCACAATGTGTATTGTGACGCCCGAAGATGTTATTCTATAGCGAATCACGTGTCGCAGTTTCATAAACTTTCACAGTACGTGACGCCCGAAAATGATATTGTATGGTGAAACGCAGGTCG